ATATATAAAAATTATTTATCATTCGATCGTTTATGATACACATGTGAAAGATAGACGAAATTCAATCCTTTAAAATGATTTTTATCTCGAATCTCTGCGACTTTTAGATACGGAGATATTAAATGTAAATATTTGAGATTTACGCAAGGTCCCATTGTACGTGTGTGTGCGTAATACGTGTACGTGATGTTTGACCTACATAATTTCTTGGAACAGACATTGACCTATATAAATTCCTGGAATTTACGTGCTCAAACGGGCATCGATAACAAACAGTTCTTTTTTTCTTCTTCCTTCTTTCTTTTTTTTTTTCTACTTCTACTACTACTACTACTACGTACAAGTGTTTCTAGTAATACGAATTATGAATGACAATATTTCGAATACGATATCTATCTTTCTTAATGGAAAGAGCTCGTAAAAGAAGCATAAAAAAAAAAAAAAAAAAAGAAGATACCGTTTTAAAACGACAAAAATATATTGTAGATTTAATTTAGTAAATTTTTTATCTCATCATCGAAATAAAATCATTGATTTATTTAGATAAACAAAAATACATACACACACACACACATACATATATATATATCTATCTATAAATTAATTCGATGAAAAATATCACCGACGAAACGATATTTTTATTTTTAAACAAAACTCGAGATATATAGAATAAAAAGAGGGTGGAAGGGAGGTAGGGGAGGGGGAAGTAAATGATCGAAAAAAGAACAGAAATAAAAAAGAAAAAAAAATAAGATTTTGAATATAAAAATACCTCGATTATTATTACATCCCGAAGTTTGGTTTAAAAATGATAAGAATAAACTTACCGAGGGGGTTGTACTGCGATGCGTTCCACCCCTGGAATGGGGATTAGACGAGTTCTTCGTATTGGCAGGGCCATTATTATTACCGCAAGCTCTTTGACTCTCTCTTCTCGAGGGTGGTGGGGGTGGTGGTGGGTGGGACAATGGTCTACCACCGTTTCTTAAATGTTGCTGTTGTTGTTGTTGATGCTGTTGTTGTTGGGAGGGTTGAAATTGGCCCCAAGACTGTCGTGGAAGATAATTCACGTAACCGCCCGATATAAATTGTGCCGAACCGTTCAAATGCGGTGGCGCCATTACTGCCGTCTGTTGCGGTTGACCACCGTTTCTCATATTTTCTTAGTTTTTTTTTCTCTCTATAATTTTTTATATATATATATATATTTTGTCTCAGTTCTCCTTCCCCGCCCCCCTCCAGCCTAATTTATCCCTAATTTTTTGTGGTTTTTTTCTTATTATTTCCTCGTTGGTTTACTTCAAAAGTTCATTTCTGCATTCACCATGAATAGATCAAGAAGAGAAACGTGTAGAAAAACAAAAATAGAACGATAATTATTGAATCGTTAATATTGTTTTCATTGAATTTTGATTATTCTTATTAGAACGATGATCGTTTTGTTCCTTCTTATCGTTGTATTTTTTCGAAGCATGTCTTCATTTCATTCCTTATCCTCCTCTCTCTTCCAATTATCGATCATTTAAATATCATTTTGAAACGTTGACACTCCCCCTCCCCCCGTCGATACACTTTTATTTCGTCGTTGTATGATAATCCTTCTTTTGCAACAATTTTTTTTTTTTTTTTAAACACCAATTGTCTTCTTTTTTTTAGCCTCCTTTTCTTCTTCTATTAATTTTTCTTGTTTTTCTTTTTTTAATTTTTTTTGTTATCTTCACTCACTTATCGAATTTTATTTTTATCGTTTTTCTTTTTTTTTCTTTATAATATATAACACAACACAACACAACACATTCACGTTATAATAATCGTTCGTATTATACGTAAAGGAAACATCGTTAATTTAAACATACGTTTAAGTTTGCCGTCGTCGTCGTAGTTGTTCAGGTGTTTATCACTGATGTGATAATGTTTGATAAGCTAATAAAAATGTGAAGAAGATAGATAAAATATTTTTGATAGCACATTCACGACCAAACTAAACGTATAACCTATTTATTATAACTATCGTAGAAAGATTGATAAAATATTGCGACCTATTTTTTTTATATTCTAAAAGAAGAAAAAAAAACAAGAAAAAATATATATATATATATTATAAATAAAAGGGGGAGAAAAAAAAAAATAAAAAAATAGAAATATCACGGAATGGTAATTATCGGCTTTTTTCATCTTTTTTTTTTTTTTTTTTTTTTTTTTTATATAGTCACTGATAGACGACTATTTTAGCATGATTTTAGACTTGCAAATCGGATTTCATCATACAATCGGGGCTCGGGGCAGAGATTAATGAAAATACGTTTTATACCAAGCCCCGATCGATTTGCTTTTACGATGAAAAAAGAATAGATAGGAGGGGAGAAAAATAAAAAGAGAAAAGAATAATAAAAAAAAAAAGACAAAAAAAAATTCATAACGAACTCAAAGCGTCGTAACAACCCCGCTAACTTTCATTACCCTCTCTTTTTTTTTTTTTATTTCGTAAGTTCGTTTGATTTTTATTTCTTCTATGTTCTTTTTTGTTCTTTTTTCAACGCGAGATAATTTGTTTTTCTTTTTTTTTTTTTTTTTTTTTTTTTTTTT